TATATAAAATATTAAAATATTTATAGTTTTAATACATTTTTTAAATATTTTAAAAAAATCACACATTTCAATGTAATTTTAACATGTTAACAATTACCTTTAAGACTGTTTTCACAATTTTAAAATTTTCATACGAATTATTAAATATTTTATATAATATGGGTAAATTTTAATTACATCTCTTGAAATATAAATTTAATACATATCATTCTTTGATGTTTGAAAAATTACACAAACCCCCTGTTATTGTAATTATTTATATGAAATGAAAATATTGAACTCATGCACTCTCTATTTTCTTATTTTGCTTTACCTTCTCTTTTTTTTTTTCTACATTTTTTTTTGTCCTTTCTTTTGCTTTATTTTTTTTCCCAATATAATTTCATTTATTTTTCTACTAGAAATTGTTGCATTTTATATAAGTAGAGGGTTTGTAAAATAAGACTATTAACCACAATGATGATAATATAATTTTCAAAACGTTAAGAGATGGAATATAATTAAACCAGACCTCATAGGATATAATATTTATATAGATGTAAGTTAACATATTTAGCAATTTTTTTAGAATTCTTATTGGCCTCGTTTGTTTCGGGAAATAGAGGGGGGATTGGGATTGAGATGGAGATAAGACCCATTAATATTGTGTTTGTTTTAGGAGATAGAGAGGGATAAGGATGGGTCTTGCGGAGGGGATTAGGATGAAGGCTTGAACTTAGTATTAGAAAATAATTCACTAAATTATTTTTTTTTATTTTTCACATGCTGGGCATTTTTTTTTTTGAACATTAATGTTTTTTGTAATTTTTGTTAAGTAAAAATCATAATTTTAATTCTTTTACTTTATTTTTTATTTTTTACATGTTGTCCTTTTTTTTTTTATCATTGATGTTTAATGTTTTTGTATTTTTTATGGGACACTTTTTCACAAATCCCTTTTCACATACTTATATTCTATTTAATCCATATTATTTTATTATGCTCCAGTAAGTCCTATGGGTGACATAATTACCAAAATATCCCTAATAATATTTACATTTACATTATGAATGTTCGTGATGTGAATGTTCACACCGTCAATGTGAATGTTAATATGTCAATGTAATGTTCACATTGTCGATATTAACATTTACACATTAATGTGAATATTCACATTGTAAAATATGAATGCTTACATCACCAAATTGCTAACCGTTCAAAAAATATTTGTAAAGGTAGAAATGTCTATAAAATGCCTTAAATATAAGAATTAAGATTTAGTAAATCAAATGTCCAAATAATAGGATTCATTAGAATATAAGAATATCTTATAGACTAATTAAGATACAAACACTTGAAAAGGGATTTTCTAATAAATTTCTCATTTTTTATTTTTTTATTATTTTATATTTATTTTATATAAAAATAATTTAACAATCCCTACACCAACAATTATTATCAAAACTACAATTTTACTTAATCCCCTAACTATCAATCCCCTTAATATTAATTCCCTCACTACGAATCTCCTCTATTCTACCTCTGAAAACAAACAGATTCATTGATTAAGAAAAAATAAATTCACATCAATATACATATAATAATTGTAAGAATCTCAAATATTTTATCAAAAATTCTATTAAATATCATATAAATGTAAAACTCACATAATATAAGCCTTACACTCATAAAATATTTGATAAAATACTTAAGGCTTCTAACATTTTCCATATACATAGGAAAATGCTACGAGCATGCATAAAAACAAAAATGGACCACACATAACGTGTAGTAATTGCATTTTGATTGTTTAATGACGAAACCACCCCTAATAGATGAAATATTAATATACTCGATGAAGATAAAACAAGGGGCACAATTGTCAGTACAAGAAAAGGACAGGTTATTATGGGGTGGCACTGTCTTTAACATGGACTCCATAGACCTGTCCCTTTTATGTCGAAAGTTGATAGCGAAAAAAATTAACGGCCCAGATTTGGTGTTCAAAAAGAAAAGATCTGGACGGTTGTTTCGCTCTTTGCCTTTGCTAGGCGCCTTTATCGATAACAACCGTAAAACTTGTCTCTTTTATTTTTGAAGAAGGGAATAGCATCCCTTTAAATTGGAGGGTATTGTTAGATTCGTAAAAATTTATTATAGATTTCGTTTTGATAATTTTTATTGTTGAATATGTAAAAATTATTGAGTACTATATAATTATAAAAAAATTACATTAATCAAATATCGATAGTTATGTGATCAAATTCATTTTGTATGAAAAATATGGACAGTAAAAAATAAACGACTTACAAAAATTTGATTTGATCACATAGCTATTGATATCCGATCGATGTGATTTTTGATTATGTATAGTACTCGACGAGTTCTACATAATGATGGTTCGGATTATCGAAACGAAACCTGTGATAGTCTCCTATGAGTCAAATAGTACCCTTTAGTCCAATCACAGAGGAAAGAGAAGCCCTTCTCTTTGAATAAATTACACTCACACCCTCCTAAAATTTAATAAAGATATAATTCTATGTGTTTGTTTAGTTTTTGAATTTAATTTTTTGAAAATTGAGTTTTTTATTTTTTATATATTTCTTTATTTTTAATGAATATTGTTAAATTTTAAGCATCTTTTTTACTTTTTGATATATACCATACTTAGATGTATTTAAAAGGTACAATATTTGTGAAAAACATATTTCAAAAAATTAATAAATACATAAAAATATGAAATATATATATATATTGTATTTTTAGTATTTAGTGATTTTTTATAAGATTTTTTCATGAAAATTATACTTTTTAAGTATATATATATATGTTAAGTGTGTCTAAAAATTAAAAAATTTACTTAAAATATTAAAAAAATAGTAAAAACAAAAAAGTGCAGAAAATAAAAAAGTAGAAGATTTTTTTAAAAAGTGTTTTTAAAAAACCCAAACAAAGCAAAGTGATGGTTTTATATTTTTTTCAGTAAGATTAAGGCTTCGTTTGGGATGTGAGTTGGTTTTTTAACTTTTTAATTTTTTTACTATTTTAGCTTGGGGCTAAAATGCCTTGTTTGGGATATGTTTTTTTGGTTTTTTTATTTTTTTTTCTGTGAGAGAATAAATGAAATGATTATGATTTGGATGCAATATTTTGTCTTATTAATTTTTTAGCCTATTTTATTTTTTTTATGACTATTTTAGCACCAAACTTTATTTTAGCCACATGCCAAACAAATGCTTTGTTATTGGGGTTATTTATTCATTTATTCCCTTGTTGGAGCATTTACAATCCATTAGGCATATATGCATATTAGTTCAAATCCCTAGTATGATTCACTTTTTTATTTTTATTTTTAATTTCAATGCATTAGGCATATGATTAGATATTTTAGCTCAACTCACATTCACTAACTATATATAGGAATCCTTCAAAGGTTAGATAAAATGTATTTAATCATTAAGATCATTTACCGCCATCTTTAATATTGATGTGGTATTCTATAAAATTAATAATATTTGAATGAATAGTTAAAATAAAGAGTATGGTTATAGTAGAAATATGAAACAATTGATAGATCAAATAAAATGTATACTTTATAATAATGTTTAAATAAGTAAAATGTCTATTAGCATTGAAGATGCTCTTATGGGTTGATCACATAGTCAATGTGAAATTTCTGGAATATATGATAATTACTCATGTGTGAGATTGTAAAAAGAGAGTGTTTATTGAGTACTCTCGGAATACGAGCACGTGATACTCTATTGTTATGTGATACTTTATGATATTATGATTAGTGAAAAATCAAATATAATAATTTTATATTAAGTGATTAAGAAATATAAAAAGATATAATGAATCATAATTAGTGACTTGACATATTGCAGGAGTCCTTATAATTTTCCGTTATGGGAGACGGACGCGGCGACAAGTGTGATTCAAGTCCGGATTTTCCTAATTTGAACCGTTGGATTTAAGGAAGTTGCACAATCGAGCGGCTTGGAATGTTCAAAAGAAATGGAGAAAAAAAACGGCGTGGAAGCGAACGAAATAGGATAAATTACACGTACCACCCACATAGTTAATTGAAAATACAAATATCTCTTGTGGTATCAAAATTTACAAATTATCCCTTGTACAGTCAGGGTGCAACTCGAATTTACTTAATTTGAGTAACCTGAGTTCAATTTGTTCTCCAATTATCGTTTAAGGTTAGGTTTGACATTTTTTAAAAAAGTTAAAAAGTCAAAAAATCATTATTCTATTTAAGTAACATTATCTTATTTAAGTCACATCACATCTCTACCACATTACTTCAAACCCACTCATATTTAACAAAAAGTCAAAAAATACATTTATTTAGAACATCCCAAACAATTGTTCTTGTACTCAACTTTCCTAAACTTCTGGACTTTCTAGTCAAAAAGAAAAACAAAAATGGTAACAATTGAAAACCATGAGTTATAATAAGTTACTTAAACCGTTCTATCATATTGATAATAAAAATGACCTGATTTTGAAAAATATCTTTTGATTCTCAAAGTTATATTTGATTTGGTTCAAAGTCCATATAGGTTTAGAGTGTCGATCCATCGTTACCCAACTTTAAACATGGATGAAACAAGCAATTACATTTACATAGATGTGAAAATTCAAGATGCTTAATTGATAAGAGCTTGATTTTCACTGGGATTTATAATGATGGATGAAAAACTCTTTCCATTGTCAACAATCAAGATTTGAAGCCATGCTTGATTATACGACTGGAAATATGTTGAGGATAAGACCACAGCCACATTTGTTTAAATTTTTTTTTTTGACACATCATTTTCTACTACATGCTCACAATGAGAATAGATCCCACATCATCAACGGGGTAAACTTTTTGTACCGAGTGAATTTTAGCCCTTCCACATTCAGGGCTTCCAATAAAATGATCAAAAGCAAAGAGCATAGAGTAAAATCAAGCTCCTAAGATACAATTGAAACTTCAGAAGCAATGGGTTAAAATACCTTCCTAGAAAGTAAAAATGTTAACAATTAGAAGAACCATACCAATCTTATACAAGGTGGTATTAATCAAATAATAATCATGCAATAGTTGGAATAAATGTGGATGAAATTGCTGTACAAAGCCGAAAAGAACGCAAGATAGAATAAACAGAATTCACAGAGCGTGACCTCACACGCTTCGTATGATCAGAACTTGTCACTAGTACCTTGACAGTATACATTGTCATCATTTCAATTTAGCTATTGAGAATGGCTTAAAAAAATGAAGAGAAGTAAGCAAGTGGTATGCCACTGCTTGGTGATGTTGGACGAGACAGAATGAGCTAATCCAAAAATGTGAACTCTGAACTCTCAGAACAGGAAAATGACTGCCTTCCCCTTGCCTTCAGCCGAACAGCAATATCATGGAATTTAAAAGAGTAAGTGGAGATAGAGAACGATCCACCCAGCCATCGAAAAAACTGCAAATATATGAACCCAAAACAACACAGCTGCTGCCTCTCTTCCGCACCCCCTTAAATTTGCAACAGCACCTACAAGCAAACAAACAATTGAATTTTTGAAACATTATAGTACATCCTTTCATTATATTAGTGGCCCAGGTGGTGGCAGGTTGGTGGTGGTGGTGGTGGTGGAGTAGTGAAGTGGGGTACTGGTAGTGGTGGTGGCAATGGTGAGGTGGTGGTGGTGGTCTTGGATTGGCAAGACAGTTTGGAAAATGTTCACTTTTTAAAAGTAAAAAATATTTTCCATCCGATAAACTTATTTTCTATTGACCATAAAAAACGTTTTCCATTAGCTTTCGTTTCTATCGTACCAAATGACAGAAAATACAAAAAAATATATATATATATTTGATGATGCGGATATGACCCATAGGATTAAGGCAAGATGGTGTAAGTGGAGAAGTGCGTCTGGGGTATTGTGCGATAAATAAATACCCACTAGAATAAAAGGTAAGTTCTATAGAACGGCTATTAGACCAGCTATGTTGTATGGGACGAAGTGTTAGGCAATTAAGAAACAACATGTAAATAATATGAGTGTGTCTGAGATGAGGATGCTAAGGTGGATGTGTGTCGAGACTAGACACAACAGAATTAGGAATGAGTGTATTCGGGAATAGGTAGGAGTAGTACTAAGAGAAGATAAGTTGAAAGAGAATCTATTGAGATGGTTTGGTCATATTCAACGGAGACCAATAGAGACAGTAGTTAAGAGATGCGATGCAGTGACAGTAGATGAAAGTGTTAGGAGAGCAGGTTTGCTACATGGTATCAGAGCAGGTTTAGAACCTAGTATTTTCGCTTCCCCGGCGAGCGGCAACCTCACCTTAGCCGCCCGCCGGACCTCAACCTATTCCGCTGTCATCTCTATCAATACATATAGCTTCCAGTTCGCCGCCACCAGAGGCGACTTCTCTACATACAAAGATCAACCACAGTAGTTAAGAGATGCGATGCAGTGACGGTAGATGAAAGTGTTAGGGGACCAAGTAGGCCTAAATTAACGTTAACTAACGTTGTAAATAGAGATATTGATATACTTAATTTGACTAACGAAATGGCGTTTGATAGAGTCGCATGAAGAAGAAAGATTCATGTACCCGACCCCATTTGATAGGGACTTAAGACTTGGTTTGGTTTGGTTTGATTTGGTTTATATATATTCGCTGAAACAAACAGAGCGTAGGGGTGTGCCCTTTTGCATACCATAAACATTTGGAAAAAGAAGGCATCTTATAATGAGCCTAAGCAAAATATGTAATTACGACACAGAATTATTATTTTTTTATTTTTTGATATATAAGACACAATTATTTTTGCTTTAGCTTTGTGTTTTCGTCTTGAAAAATATGTATGGCAATAGCTTGGTTGTTACCAGAAAGCACAGATGTGGGCATTGTATGCTGGAGAAGAAGAATAAATCTGAACATCTTATCATCAGGAGGAAGCAAACCAAGCTTGTCAGCCAACATGACAATGCCGAGTCCAGTGGGAGGAACCAAAACCAACCGTCCAAAAATAATAGCAGCAGTTGTCCGTAGACCAAGTTTTGAACTCCCCGGTCCTGCAAGGAAACCATAAGTTGTTAGCGATCTAACTATTGGTTAATGTGCGCAGTCCCAAAGACAACAGTTGAAGAAAGTGACTACGAACTGAAAAAGGCATATTGAGGAAAATATACAAGCATTTGAATATGATGAAAATTTTTGCAAGAAAAACGTACAGAAATTTTAAATTTTAAATTTTAAATATAGATAACCCCAGACAAATTTAAATTTTCATGCATCTTGTATTTTTTACAAGAAATTAAAAATTAATTATAATGCTAATATGGGTTGTACATCTTGTAGTTTCCACCACTTCCATGCTAAACAAATTAAGAAATTTTTTTTTTTTTTTTTTTTTTTTTTCCCGACGTGTGCCCCTCTTTACAAAACAAAAACAATAAAATAAAAGACAATAATAAAACTTTCCCTCACTTTCTACCATTTTCATCCTAAACAAACTCAGCTTTTCTGTCTTCAATTTTTGGTAAATGCAAAAAATGCAAAAAATTTATGACCAAAATGTTTCAGAAAATTTTCTGAAAGCAACCCACTTTTCAAAAACACCAAAAATTTTCTGAAAGCAACCCACTTTTCAAAAACACCAAAAAGTTGTTTATGAATTCTTGAAATCTGTTAGTGCACAAAAATAAAAGGGAAGTGATTGAGACCCCCTCCAATCACCACCCCCACCCCCACACACACGTGGGGGCCGGTGATTGGAGGAGAAGGGAAAAAAAGAAAAAAAGAAAAGAAAAACTGGCCAATCACAGAGAGAGGGGGTCATGGGGTTGCCCCCCTTGTGGGGGTCCAAGTCATTTTCCAAAATAAAAAACAATATGAAAATGACGTGTTTTCAAACTTTTAATTATTTTCGTCTCCGGAAACACAAAATCGAAAATGAAAACATAATCAAACAGTTCCCTTGAATTGCAACTGAAAAGATTCCTTAAAAATCCAGGATTAAGGGGCGTGCTTATCATAGATGTTCAATGAAAGCACATGATAAATAATTGAGACACGAGCAATGAGAAAGGCAACTTACCATCTACAAGGTTGCCACCTAATGCCAACAAAATGCATGGAATCATGGCACCCCTGAGAGTCAAACATAATGTTAGATATCATATTTTGAGATCTAAACTATATTACAGCTAAACATTGATGATACTGCTAGCATTCCCGTGATAAGATATAGGCCTTGTTTGGTGCAGCTTATAAGAGTTGTGCAACTTTTGCTTATAGTTTATGAGGCCAAAATAGTTTGAATAAACTGATTATTAGAAAGCTAAAGGAAGAGTTCTTTTAGCTCTGCTTGCTGATTATCCCGCTTTTAACTTGCAAGAAGCTACACCAAATGGGCCCATAGCGCCTAAAAGTGAATACTAAAAATGAAACAATCTTGTGAGCTGTGTTTAGTTATTCCAATGCACAAAAGATTAAAGAATAGAACGTTATTGGAACAAAGCAAACTAGTATTACAAACATAATTCCATAATGAAGTTCCAGTATGAACGAATTCTTTAAACATTTTTTAAGCTAGTGTTGATTCAACTAGATCATTCTTGATCCCAAAGGGGAAAAAACATTTCAGAGGAGTACCCTTACATACCAGCAAAGGTACACATTCAGGTCAACCATCAAAACTTGCCAGCGGATAATGAAGCATAAACTTTGCCATATCCTGAAGCAGTGGTTTGACACTGGTAAACCAAAATCCCAACCAGGCAATGGGATACACATGAAGGATCACCCCCAAATATGTAATTCCTAAATCCAGGAAATGGATAGAGGGTAGCATTTCTATGTCTACCCCCCTGATTTCGTTCATAATTCTTTCTGAAGTTCTATTGTGAAGCATATTATATATTAAAATCTTGCTTCGTGTGCAGAAACACTTGATGAAGGTATAACAATATATACAAATATGTATACATATATATGCAGAACTTCAAAGAAAAGGACACACCAAATAAAGATAAGGAGAGATGGAACCGAGCATACCCAAGAATTGTGCAGCTGTCGGTGAAGAAGTAAAGAGGAGCATCGGGCGTAAATATCAAATTCTTTAAAAATGGTATGCATCCAATTACCATCGATAAAATCTGAAACAAAGTCATGCATACCAAACTTTAGTGCTAGTAAATGCATGAGGAGTGCAAGGGATTGAACAAAATTTTCTTGAATAAGCATTTTAATAGAAATGGTCAAAGTAGGCAAACCAATTAAACAGAACTCTCAACCATCAAGTATTAACTGAAAGTATGCTTTTAAGTAAAAATATAAAGAATGAGCTTTGATTAAGATGTTCTGATTTATTTTTCAAACTTATTTACAAAAAAAATAAAAAATAAAAAAATAAATAAAAATAAAAAAGAGCTAATGCCAAATATGGAGTTTACTATTACAGCATATGCGATAAATTATTAATTATAATCCAAGATACTAACCCACAACACAAAATACTAAGAAAACATCAATCAATCAGAAATTGAAGAGATTGAACTTACAGAAGCAATAATAGGGGGTTGAAGTATTTGCTCAAGCTTCAACTTCTCATACAAAAACTCTAAGAAAGCTTTAATCTGCATCAAGACTCACAACATGTAAGAAACCAACAACCAACTTTAGTCTATAAAATAAGCAACAAGAGAGCACAATAATTAATGAATCAGGGAAAACATCCCAATCGAGCTGAATATTACTAAAAGGCTAAGCAAGGCATGAATTATAAAATTGCATAGCAAATTCAATGCATTCTGTCATTTTAATCCTAATAAGTTGTTGTAATAGTGAGGGGATGAAATTGTGATCATTCATTGTGTCTTGCTACTAAATTGGTAGGGATGATACTTATCTACATATTGATACTTACAAGCTAATTCTTTCCTTGCCAATATCATTTCCATTACAGTAAGGGTAAAGCATTTTGCGCATTTTTTTTTTTTTGGGGTATATATAAACAACCATGATTTCAGCGGAGCTGAAGAAAAAATACAGTGCCACAACATCTTGAAGCAAATATAGTTGATTCTCACCTTTCCTTTCTTTGGAGCATCTGAATTTGTTGGAACCACCTCTTCCGTAAGCAAAGGAGTTTCCACTGGAGTGCTATCCTTAGCAGTGTACTTGATGGGAAGATTTCTGTCCTCAATGTCGAAGGTACCTTCAGGAGGGGGTTCAAGCATCTGATAAACATAGGTGTATAGAACAATTGCACCAACCTAAATAAATAGATAAAAAAATTATTACATGTTACTCATTTTCTTTGCACAGATTATATGAGAAATACAAAATGCACAGATAAAATTCTTAAAGATATGTAGACACCTAACAAGCCAACAAGAATTCAGATTTGTATGAACATAGATTTCAAAAAGCTACAATTAACCTATATAGATTTATAGGTACAATTCCAAAATGCTAAATGGTAAAAGCAAATGATAAATAGGGCATTTGTAACTCTACAGAAACACCATTTTTTTTTATATTTTTTGATCTTTCCAATTTGTAGTGATATAAAAAATAAATAAACCAGACTTCCACTTATGGGAGACATATAACCTAATGATGGAATAAGTCAAAATCTGTTCCTGCATAAAAAATACATTCATGCAATTAACAATCTAAATCATATCGGTGAATAACAAAGAAGTGATTCTTCTTGCTCTTGGAAACTGATCTAGCTGCTAAAATGTGAAGGTCCTAAAACATAAGGATGAATAATTACATAATTAGGAATATTGAAAGAAAGCAATTCAAAGAATCGGCTAATCAAAAGATAGATAATTATTCAAACATCCAGTGGGTAAAGAAATATGTATTTCAATGACTCCAATATAAGCTACAGTGAATAAAAGAGATTGAATAATTTACCCACTGGCCGAATGAGATATATGCATTCCCATCTTGAGCACATTTCTCAGAATCACCGAAAGGATTTGACTTGTCTCGACATAAAGCTGCAATCAGGACAAGTGGCACATTTCCAATATTCCCTGCGTAAACATCAGTAATGAGAGCACAGAACTGGAAAAAAAATACTAGAGCCAGTGTTGGCTCCAAAACTTTTTAATGATGGGGTCATGCAAAATCATAAACACTAATTCTCAAACCATAAATAAATAATCTTAATATACTACTATTGTTTTTGACAAAACACACACACACACAAACACAAATATACATATACACATTTTGAATTGTTTGAAGAACTCTTGCGAGCTTCGTCTGAAGTGTGCGCGAAACCAATGCAGCCTTCTAACAAAATTGGAGATCCATAATTTTATCCAATCATAACTTTGGGCTTTTGAAACCCATGTTTATCAATCTTTGAACTCGATCTTCGTTATTAATACATTCGCGAGTTCTAGATTTAATTTTCAGGACATAAAAACACAAAATAATTGTTTAGCACATTCAACCTTGTTGAATATAGGAAACTAGAATATTTTATTTATAGTGTATAAAATCCGTGATTGTATGAATCACGGATTTAGTGCCTTGATTGTTTTGTTTCCTAAACTATAACTTGAATTCATTATATATACATGGCTCTAGCCAAAAACATTCTTTTCACTCCTTTTGGCCATTTGGGTAACAGAAATGCAAGAAGTGGAGATCAAAGTGAGAAGTGTTTTGGCACTATCAAATCAGGGCAATGAGTAGTGGCATGCAAGCGAGAAGCTTTCTTAAAGATTTCAGAATAGAGTTTAATCAGGGTTTAGTTGCAAATCGTTTAATTGCAATGTCCATAGTCTTATTGTAACTTATGTATGGTTGTCATTGATTTCACATGCTTCATGTAAGATTGGCATATTAATTGAATTGTCATAATGCAATTAGAATTGATTCATTAATCACCGAACATTGAACTTAATTTTAAAATTACAATATATATGTATAGACTACTCCATGTTGAGAGTAAAAGTGGACATCAAGACTCTCCTACAAAGTAAGAAACCAAAACAATCAGGATAAATACTTGACAGAAGCTGAGGGAGCATTTCATATATCATTAACAAATGCTAACTTCACAATTTACTTCACAATTTAAAGTAGCTTACCGATTCCAATTTGTATGATAGTAAACTTGAAGAATGGGTATGGTGGATGGACGATGGACGCCACAAGTAGACCTATTAACGACCCTGATATGGTAGCTAGAACAACGTTAAAAGGAATGAACCACCTGCAAAAGGTCAAAAAATGCTTGCTTAAACAACAAATCTCTGAGCTATTGCTATTCAGAAAAAAGAAAAACACCTAAATCTTACCACTCAATCATTTTCTCTAAAGTGATGGCTTGTCCGAGTTGAGAGAATATCAAACATGGAAGTAAAAGTGAAAAAACCAACTGCACCACATAGTTTGAACAATCAGTTAGTTTGCATATATTGGCATATCACTAAATAAGAAGACAGGTAGAAAGATTTTATTTTCTAGAAGAAAAAAAAAACACTTGGTAATAATAAAATCTCATTGCCCATTGATTCTAGCATCTTTAGCAAAACTGAAAACTACATTGGAGGAAATTCACAATGTTTTACACATTTCTACAAGTTGAGGGCAACTAGCCTCCGTTTGGGAAGTGGGTTGGCTTTTTGGTTTTTTGGGTTTTTTAGCTATTTTAGCCTGAGCTAAAAAGCTTGGTTTGGGAAGGGCTTTTTGGCTTTTTTGACTTTTTCTGTGAGATGAGTGTAATGATGTTAAAATCCACCTACTCTCCACCTACTTCACCCACTTAAACCTACTCCACTAAACCTAACCCACTACACCACTACCACCTCACCTACTCCACTAAACCTAACCCACTAAATCCACATACTCTCCACCTACTTCACCCACTTAAACCTGCTATGGGTAAAACTGCTATCTTTATAGTCCCAATCAATGACTCTCCTCCTCCATTTTGACTGTCCATTAGAACTTCTGATAAAAACCTTTCCATATTTTCCAATGTAAACTTCCAGACTTCAAATCATCAATCAATAATGCTCTGAACTGCAGAAAATTGTTCTCTCCTATTTCAAGGCTGGAATTTTCAATGAAATCAAGTGTGAGCTAATTAACGGTTCAAATCCAACAAAAGGGTTTTTATATTGTTAATGAATCCCCAGAAGATTGCAGCTTTATTGTATACAGAACAGATTTCCAATCCAAAAAATTCTTGGAAATCAGAATTCAGCCAGAGTTTCTCCTCGCCGAGATCTTGATGAAACCTTCAACTCCTTAATTTATTTGTATTGCCTGATCTTCTTGATCTGCAAAATTCACCCAAAAAGTTAATTAAATAATGATCAAAAATGAAAATGTTGAACGAAAAAATGTAAATTTCACCAAAATTCAGTTTATAATCCAATTAGTATTTCTATATAATAAAAAACAAAAAACAAAAATTAGGTTTCAATAATGTTAAAGAAAAGTATATACTATAGGGTTTGAATTCCTCAATCAAAATTGAATTCAACTTAAAACAACAAATACTGATGAACAAGAAGACTTGACTAAATTCAACCTAAACCAACAATAACAAAGAAAAATAAAATAAATAGGTATTCAAACAAAAAACAATAATTGGGTTTCAATAATGTTAAAGAAAATAATATAGCATACCAAATAAAAGGGTTTGAATTGAATTCAACTTAAACCAACAATATGAGAACAAGAAGATTTGACAAAGTTCAACTTAAAGCAAACAATAATGACAGAAAAAATAAATAAATACACCGCATAAATCACTTGAATCCCTGAAAATACGCAACATATATATATATATATATATAAAGTAAATTCAAAGCATAAAAAGCAAAATTGAGAGAAATTCAAGCAAAAATACATACACACTACATTAGGGTTCGAATAAAGCAGTTCCAATTCTTATTACAAAAACAGAAAATACGGTGATATTCAACTGCTGATACATAAATATATATACAGATCATATATACATACATATATGTGTATGTGTGTATAGGGTCGCCTGAAGCTGAAGCATCCTATACCTTATAAGGAATCATTGGGCCCTCGTTTCGTATTTTTGCCCTCTTATTTATAGGGGGTGTTTGGCCGAGGGTTAGATTAAAATAGAACAAAATATCACATTTAATTTACAATTATTTTATGTTTTTGTAATCATCAAATTAATTATAAATTTTTTTATAATTATTTTTCTAAACATAACTCATTTAGTTCGGTTAAAACCACCTTTGAAAACAAGTTATATTAGTAATTTTTTAATATTTTATGAAAAATATGTAAAAAAATAAAAATAATGATATGATAATTTATAATAATTTGGTAACACTATATGCACTAATTAGTATATTAACTAATGTACTAATACTAATTATGACATTATTGTTAACCCTACTCATTATACAAATTACAAATACTAAAAACATTTTAAATTATGTTACATCATCAATTAATATACTAATTAGTGTATATCAGATTATTCAAAGTGATTTTTTGACTTTTTAACTAAAACATGTATAGTTGCTAAACGAAACTTTAGATTAGATTGGGACTAAATTAGTCACTAAAAAATAAAAAAAATTAATAAAATAAAATGTCACATTCAAATTATAATTATTTTATTTTTATATTTATAAAAATTAAAAAAACCAATTCCAATAAATTTTTTAATCTCAAACTAAAAAAATCCCAAATCTAAAAAATCAACTAGGACAATTTTTTTTTGACAAGCCAAAAACATAACCAACTAAAATAGCCTCCTTTGCAAATGGGGCCAAAATATCAACCATACTCTTATTTGATTCTCCTTTGTCGGTTATGTAAATTACACCTTGTACCTTTAGAATGATTATTAATTTTTACTTTCGCCCCTAAAATTGCAAATCTTCTCAATTTGACCATCCAGCAAACAATAATGACAGAAAAAATAAATAAATACACCGCATAAATCACTTGAATCCCTGAAAATACGCAACATATATATATATATATATAAAGTAAATTCAAAGCATAAAAAGCAAAATTGAGAGAAATTCAAGCAAAAATACATACACACGTACATTAGGGTTCGAATAAAGCAGTTCCAATTCTTATTACAAAAACAGAAAATACGGTGAAATTCAACTGCTGATATATATATATATATATATACAGATCATATATACATACATATATGTATATGTGTATGTGTATGTGTATGTGTATGTGTGTATAGGGTCGCCTGAAGCTGAAGCATCCTATACCTTATAAGGAATCATTGGGCGCTCGTTTCGTATTTTTGCCCTCTTATTTATGGGGGGTGTTTGGCCGAGGGTTAGGTTAAACAACACCGCTACAGAGCCCGAAAAATCAAAGGCTCGAATGGCTCGAAATCCCAAAACGACGTCGTTTTAAGACTTTTTTTTATTCTCTTACCGGTAAGATAATATTTTTAGTACCATTTGAGCCATTCGAGCCTCATTTTTTCGGGCTACGGAGCATTTTTGTAGGTTAAAATAGAACAAAATATCACATTTAATTTACAATTATTTTATGTTTTGTAATCATCAAATTAATTATAAATTTTTTTATAATTATTTTTCTAAACATAACTCATTTAGTTAGGTTAAAACCACATTTTAAAACAAGTTATATTAGTAATTTTTTAACATTTTATGAAAAATGTGTAAAAAAATAAAAATAATGATATGATAATTTATAATAATTTGGTAACACTATATGCACTAATTAGTATATTAACTAATGTACTAATACTAATTATGACATTATTATTAACCCTACTCATTATACAAATTACAAATACTAAAAACATTTTAAATTATGTCACATCATCAATTAATAAACTAATTAGTGTATATAAGATTATTCAAAGTGATTTTTTGACTTTTTAACTAAAACATGTATAGTTGCTAAACGAAACTTTAGATTAGATTGAGACTAAATTAGTCACTAAAAAATAAAATAAATTAATAAAATAAAATGTCACATTCAAATTATAATTATTTTATTTTTATATTTACAGAAATTAAAAAAACCAATTCCAATAAATTTTTTAATCTCAAACTAAAAAAATCCCAAATCTAAAGAATCAACTAGGACAATTTTTTTTTGACAAGCCAAAAACATAACCAACTAAAATAGCCTCCTTTGCAAATGGGGCCAAAATATCAACCATACTCTTATTTGATTCTCCTTTGTCGGTTATGTAAATTACACCTTGTACCTTTAGAATGATTATTAATTTTTACTTTCGCCCCTAAAATTGCATATCTTCTCAATTTGACCATCCAATTATTGGATTTTTTTTTTCAATATGAGCTCGTTTGGGATGTGAGTTAGCTTTTTGACTTTTTGGTTATTTTAGCTTGGGAAATAAGTTTTTAAGCTTTTTTTTACTTTTGTGAGAAAAAAAATGAAATGATTATGGATTGAATGTGACATTTTATCATATTTAACTAAAATATCCTATTTTGTTTTATATGGTTATTTTAGCTCCAATGGGGTATCCCAAACGAGCTCTTAGGTTTTTTTTTTTGGAGGTCAATCAGTACAAGATTAATTATAAAGGGTTTGAATTTTCTCATATTCAAATTTGAACTTGAAAGAATTTCAGAAGATCGTCGAGCCACTATGGATTTTGTTTTGATAATCTGAGCAATTCATTTTATAGAGTCATCAATGCATTTCATCCATGAAAAAAAATTAAGTTGATCCAATGATAACAACCTTTTCGTTTTATCACATTTGTTTTTGAAAAATAAACGGTAAGTGTGTTTTAAAGGTAAACTATTTGTTTTTTTTTATTTAACAAAACAAGTACAATAAAATAAAAATGTTATGATTATTAGATCGACTTAATTTTAAAAAAAAAAATGGTATGCGCAAAGAGCCTACAAGATCAAATGTTTGAATTATCAAAACGGGATTTGTGGTGGATTTTACGGACCTCTCAAATTCTTTCAAGTTCATATTTTAATTTGAGAGAAGTTCAATCTAAATATGATAAGTATTATATTAAACTGAACCATTAAAGTTTAGTTAAGTGTTGTTGGTTTTTGAGTTGGGGCTAAAAAATCACAAAAGGACAAAAAAAAGTCAAAAAAATCACAAAAAGACCAAAAAAAAATTTACCATTCCAAAGCCAAAAAAGCCAAACAAGAATACCAAATGACCAAAAAAGTTTGAGGCTAAAAAAGTCAAAAAAGTTAAAAAGCCAATTAAAAAACTAATTGCCAAACAAGCACTTAGTAGTTATTGTTCAGTTTTGTGACAAAAAAATAAAGCTTCTATTTGCACACCACTATTTTTTTCAGGGGTGTTTTGAAAAAGTAGGTGTTTTTGAAAAAACCTATAAAAAATATAAGAGATGATGTGACTTAAAATATGTTAAAAGCCAAAAAAAAAAGAGCTTATGTTTCCAAAACACCCTTCACTTGACATTGTTTATTGCGTTTGAA